TATGGATCTGTACATGTATTAGCTATAGCTACAGTATTAATTTCTCTTCCAATTGTTTTGAAAAGAGCTAGGAAGGTATGTTGTCTTCGGATTTGGAATTCTAGAACTACTAAAGGAATTAGACTATGTAATAAAATAAAAGTTTGACAATGTCAGATTAGACAGCATTGCAAATATAAAATGTTGTCTTCCTCCTACATTCTTCTCTTTCCTTCCCTTTGAAGTTGGGAAGAGCAAGCACTTTAAAACAAATTTTCTCTGTTATGTGAAAAGAGAATTTTTTCTCTTTTTCATAAGCTGGAAGTGACTAATTTTTTCATAGTACTTCAGGTTCAGACATTGGCAATGTTACATTTCAATGTGACCACAATGCTTAAAGGACTGCTTTCTCCTCCCTTTAAAAAGAAATCTTCCCCACCCATTTTTCTTCCAATTTATCTGCACACTGGGACAATAGGCAGTAGGTTTATTGCACAGAAGGTTAAGTTTTTCATGAATTTTCAGGTCAGCAGTAATAAAGATCCAATCTTCTACATGCTACATTTATCAGCAAAACTCTATGAAATTGGAAGAAAGAAGGCAGCTGGAAGCAGCGAAGGTGCTGGGCTTCTACCCAGTTTTGTTACTTAAATTTAATTATGTCTTTTTGTTTACAACTTTAATTATGACAGGTTCTAATTAGTTTCTTAAAAGAAGATCTTAGACATAATCTCCCTTTATTACATTTTTTTTCAAGCTGCCGAAATAAGTAATTGAGAACAAAGTCCTTAATTTGATAAGCATCCCCCCAAAGGTTTTCAGGATAATGTTTGGCAACTAAAGTTTACTTCAGATATCTGAGTGCTTCAAGATAAAGGTTTAATTGTACTTCTCAGACATAGTCAGTCATCTTCTGTTTTTTAACTCTGCTTCCTCTGTATTATTCCCCCTCCCCCATGCCAAAAATTAAATGTGAGGACAATGATTATGATTCTTCTTTAATCTTCTTGTTCTATGACAAAATTTGAGTTGGAACTATTAGCATTTTTAAAGTTGCAGTACCCAGGAACCTAAATTAATCACAAATTGTGATCGCACAAGAACTAGAAAGTTGTTTTGAAAATTAAAATGAAACCTGATGTTTTTAGGCTTCTGTTATCTGTATGTAAATATATACTGACATGAATATCAACATAGTAAAATAAAGATTATGTACCTGAAATTCAAACTTGTGAATTGTACAATGAAGCCAAGTTGTCTTGACAGTGATTTCAGGCAAGGAGTTGCATATAACTGATAATTTTGTTAAATTTGGGAAAGTGAATTAAAATATATAGATAACATTAGTAATACTCTAAATCTGTCTAATGTGTGATGGGAATAAAACACAGCAAATCTCTGTGTAGGCTTCTCCTATGTCTCTTCTCTCATATAGTCTCTATATTAATTCAGAAGGTAAGTGTATCAAACTCTCTTAGTCTTCTTGTCCTTAGATATTCATAAAGCATTTGACAGAGTAAAAGATAAATTTGTTTATCTTTTAAACAAATTTACTGGAAATGGGATTGCTAGATTTAATCATCTACTTTCATCCAGCACAAGCAGTAATTAGCATCAATAAATTCAGATCAGGGTTTTGTCAAGAATCCAAGTTCAGTATAAAAATTGCATACAATTTTGTAGATCTGTAAATTGTTGGTGCATTTTTTTATAATCTGCATGGAGAAATCATAGAGTTAGAAGGGACCATTTATGTTCACTGAACTAGTTCCCTGCTCATAGTATTTGTGATTGTTGGTTGTTTATCCTGTGAACAAATCATTGACAGGGAACCCAATTAACTCTTGGTAAATTATTCTACTATTAACATTACTTTTACTATAAGGATTCTTTTAGAGTGTGGGCTCTCACACCCAATTTGTATCACCCAAAAAAATGGGGATTTTCCTTCCACTTTTTTTATCTTACTGATAAAATAATAAAAACTGATAAAAATATTACAAATTAGAAGATCCAGAACATAACTTTATTTCACCATAGTACATGTCTGTCTTCAATTTGATGAAGAGCATTTGAGAGTTCATTAGACACCACTTTCAAGCTACTTTGCAGCCATTTAATTGTCATGCCCATTATATATATATATGGGCATATATATATATATATCTTTTTTCTTTTTTCATAGGCTTTATATGTGCATATTCTTTCTAGCCAGGTTTTACCTATGTAAACTTAGTGTTCTTCAGCCCTAGGTTCTGTGAAATCTCATTCACAAGTCTGGGCCCTTTTTGCTGACAAACTGCAACTCTGTGTTGCTTCCTGGGAGACCCATAGCTATTTCTATCTTAAGGCGTCCTCATGGAGCAATTATATACTTCCTAATTATCATCCTAATATAATTAATATCATTCATAGGTTTATGTATTTTTTTTTAGTTCTATATTGTTTTATATATTAATTAAGTTAATGTTCTTTTAGTTGTGAATTCATGTTCTTGGGCTAGTTTTGTTGATATATGCAGTGTTGTTGTAATGTTTTTTGTTATTTTGGTCTATTGTTGGTTCACTGTTATATTTTGTAAAGGTATAATGTATTTTATTTTTTTTTTTATTATATTATCTTTTTTCTTGCTTTTATGTGCATATTCTAGCCAACCTATGTAAACTTAGTTGTTCTTCAGCCCTAGGTTCTGTGAAATCTCATTCACAAGTTCTTGGGCCCTTTTTTGCTGACAAACTGCAACTCTGTGTTGCTTCCTGGGAGACCAGATAGCTATTTCTACCTCTTAAGGCGTCCTCAGTGGGCCACACCCACTTCCCAATTATCCTCCCTGTAAAGGCATAATGTATCTTTTTTCTTTTTTCATAGGCTTTATGTGCATATTCTAGCTATCTGGGTCTCCAGAAAGCAACACAGAGTTGCAGTTTGTCAGCAGAAAAAGGGCCCAAGAACTTGTGAATGAATTTCACAGAACCTAGGGCTGAAGAACAACTAAGTTTACATAGGTAAAACCTGGCTAGAAGAAATATGCACATAAAAGCCTATGAAAAAAGAAAAAAGATACATTATGCCTTACAGGGAGGATAATTGGGAAGTGGGTGTGGCCCACTGAGGACACCTTAAGAGGTAGAAATAGCTATCTGGGTCTCCCAGGAAGCAACACAGAGTTGCAGTTTGTCAGCAGAAAAAGGCCCAAGAACTTGTGAATGAGATTTCACAGAACCTAGGGCTGAGAACAACTAAGTTTACATAGGTAAAACCTGGCTAGAAAGAATATGCATATATATATATATCAAATTTATTAATCAGAATGGCAGCGGGTATTTTGAAAAATGCCTTGTTGAAATCAAAATGTATTATATTCTCAATATCCCCATCTATTAAGGTTGTATTCCCATCTATTAAGGTTAATCATGCAAAGCCACTAGGAAAACTCATGCTGACTTCTGATGATGATTGCCTCATCTTTTTCAAAGCAAATGCAAATACTTTCCTAAGTGTTAATGTTAAACTGACTGTTCAATCGTGTAGTTGGATCCATTAAAGTTCCTGGAACTTCCTTTCTTTTCCCATACTATGTAAATGCACACTGAAACCATCAGTTAATACCTGAGATAGTGCTGATCTGATTGCAGATTTAAATTTAGTCATAGACAGATATATCCTGAAAATGTTTTCATCATCTTCATGTTTTAGCCCCTCTCCTTTATCCATTTTATATTTATATTACGTATATTATTATTGGACAAGATTGAATCAAAGCAAGAGTTAGTAGCATTGCCCATGTCTGTGTTTTTGTATGTATAATCTGTTAGCATTTTGCCATTTTCACTGTTCAGTTAATATCCTGGCTGTTTTGTTTTGAACATATATAAAGAAACTATTTTTATAGGGTTAGTATCTCAGGTCATTCCAAGCTTTACTTTACACTAACTCTACAGCTCTGTCAGTATCCTTCCTAAATGTGGTTTTCATTGCTTTCAGATCTTTACTAAGCTTTTTATGTAGGCACACTGGTTTCTCCTTCCTCATTGGAGTTGGTATAAGTAAAACATTCCTATTTTTTTTCTGTGTATTTGAACAGATAAATTATGAAGTGATGTGAACCTTTATCAATACTTTGGCTAAAATTGTAATTATTTTGGCACTGCTTTAGACTATTTTTTTTAAAAAGTTGTATTACAGTGTTAAAAGGTTTTTGACACTTTTAAAACTAGTAATTTTAAGTTGCTTGAGGTGAGGGATAAGACATATTTATTATTACATTTTTGAGCATAAGTTATTTATCTACAGGAACTGCTTTACATCTACCTATGCTAAATCTGCTACATTGAGTTGTATGAAGAAACCCATATGCTAAAAATAAAACCCTTTATCTCATTCCTACGTTATCCCTCTGTGATTTTCTGTTTTTCAATTAACTTCTCTGTTTCTTTGTTCAACTCTTCTTGTTCCCCAAACCTCTCATGCATTTTCAGACTGGCAAAGGAAGTTGGGGTGAACAGAGTAAGGATTCATTTTAAAAACTTGTACAAAACTCGCATTCTGTAATTTTCTGAGCCTATGGCATCACCATCTGTCTGTTCTTTGACAGGCTGATCAAAGAATGTGATGTGTTTGGTAGTGTAATATGATATGTTTGAATACTGATGGAACATTGTTTTACATTTAAAAGCTATTGAATTTTCTTGTGCCACAACACAATAAAATTGAAACAGATAAGATTGCAAGAAATACTTGCCCTGATGAGAATCCAAAGGAAAAAAGAATAGTCTTTTTGTGCATTTTGTGTCAAAATTATTAGTTAGAATGCTTGGGAATATTTCATGACATCCTAGCAACTCAATTTACTGGTGGATAGAGGCATTTGCTTTTGGCAGGAAACACAGCTGCCAATTCACACTATGACATACAACTGCAGAACCAAAGCCAACCCCTTAAGCTATTATTTGTGTCAGTTTTCAACATCCTTGTTTCTTAACCTATCCCCAACAATATCACTTAATCTGTTATTTCCCCAGAGTGGTGGCGGTGTCTCGATTCCAGCCATGAAGATGGTCAATCCAGCATCACGGCTAAAGCAAACCCAGCAAGGCAGCCCAGACAAAAGCAAACACATAAAGCAACGCATGGAATACATGCGCATCCAGGGACAACAGCAGGTAGTTTATTTGTAGGCCACTTTGCCATTATTCTGGGGGAGCATGGAGACAGGTTAGCAACTCTTCATTTTGGCAGTTGGTGTGGGGGAGGTTATTCCTAGGAAAATAGTCCTGTCTCTGAGGCTTTGGGTGGGTATGAAGAGAGGAACATTTGCATCCATTTTGAATAAGGATTCTTAATAGCCCTTTAGATTTGGAATGTGGTTTTAAAATTGTATTCAGAGTTTATCTTTATCCTATCTGAGGTAAAGTACATATTAATTTATCAGACTGGAATTTCAAAATGAAGGGATACTTATTTATTTATTAATAGTGACAGTGGAAGTTGAAATGGTTCCATTGTCTGCAGGTATATATACACCAAACACTAGAGCATATTCATTTTTCCTGATCTACTGTGATCTCAAAAGAGGTCTCCCCCCCACCTCACCGAGGCTTTAGCTTCCTCAGTTGTTAAGGGCCATCATGTGCATCTTCCAGAAGAGTCACTCAGATTCCAGGCATTAGCTTGAATTCACCCTTTCAGAATGTCTGGCATATTATAATAACCCCAAATGTAGAGATGTCATAAGAGGTGCTATTGAAAAAGAAAATTTTCTAAGTTCGAGATTGTACCCAGACAATATATTGTTATTGTGAATATAGAAATTTTATACATAACCAAAAAAATTGTACAATAAATAATAATAATAATAAAAAAAACACCACTAGAAAAAGAAAACTTTCTGCAAGAGTTATAAAAAAGTCAATTCACAGTAACTCTGCATTTTTTTTGACTGGAAGGTGAAAAACAGAAAAAAGTTAGAGCAATTACAATAGATACATTACAATGGCTTGGGAAAAAAACAATTAAAACCAACCAAAAATATTGAATAAGGATAAATCTAAAACAAATCCTCCAAAAACTTAAAAAGAACCATCAAATACAAGTTAATATCTCTTCCCTTTTTAATATAAATATATGTTTACTACTTATACTTTTGAATACAATTATTTTATAATTCATTTTGCTGAATTAATAATAAGACTTTTGGGAGGCAATATAACAATGGATGAGTTGGTCCCTGAAAGTTGCAAGTTGTGGCAATCTTTTTTTTAAAGAGATCGATAAAAATCCCCATGGACCCTAAGTTTATTGTGCCAGGCATTAATATTTCATAGATGCTGCAGTTTCTATGCAGGTGCTATTTTTCCCCATTGACTTGGAGGCAAAACTTTAATACTTAGCTTAGTTATTTATTTTCATCTCGATTGGTTCCCTTGAGCATCAACTGATATTTATTTTATTTTAACGATCCCATCCATCAAAACAGCTTTCTCAGGATAACATAATAATATCACAATTTAAAATTTGTAAAAATTAATAATGATCCATGTGTTATTTCCCATGGAGAATTCAAACAGGGCTTTTTTCCATGGATGTATATGCCATTTATTTAATTAATTTGAAGGAACTTAAAATAAAATTCAAAATCCACTGACCTCTTTATCCATTTAAATTTTTATAATCCAACCTGTTCGTAAGGAGTTTTTATGTTTTTTTCAGATTAATTTTTAAATCCTTTTTTTTTTCCTGATCTTTTCCTTTAATCATGCCCCGGGTCATAAGAGCATTCACTGGATGGTTTGGTTGCTCTGCTGCACTGAAGATTTCTTTAGCATTTAAATAACTGTATTTCAAATGTATTTAAATGGGTAGAACAGGGTTGTTTCCAATGTCCATAAAGAGTCTGCTGAGGCTATATCTTTTTTCCTCAGCTCCCAGTGAGGTACTGCCTTTCAATGCCTCCTGGTCCTGCAGGCTTCCTCATGAGGAGCTGCCTTTTGAAATACAATCATCAATCTCTTCATCTTTTCTTTTTCTGGAGACTCTGGCTTATCACCCATAGATTCCCAGTCTATGCTATACCTAATGATTAACATGGAATGAGAAATGATGGAAGAATGTCTGAATCTGATAAGGTGTTGTCTGGTTGAGCACTTTGCCCAAGAAATGGATATTGGCCACAGATTATAATGATTTAGTCCTTCTATATTCCACAACTGTTCTTCATTTTTCCTCCTCTAATGAGATAGAGCTACTCATGTGGGGAAAAAAGGAATAGCTGATCTCTTGGGTCAATTTGAGGAGCCCTAACAGGCAGAGTGTGCCGTGATGAATACACCAACCATACGTCAATGACCTACTGGGTGTTATTTAGATTTCAGACTAGGATCAAACTCAAAATGCTGTGGACAATTTTATATGTTTTATAGTGCTTTGTCTTGTCTTTGTAGAATGGCCTGAAAGACAGGACTGACAAATTGCAAGCTCTCATCCAAGTAAGGTAGACTCAAAAAGCAATAAACATGCCTGTTGCATAGCATCCCAATAACTTTAATTAGTCAAAACAGCCTTCTCTAGATTTCAGCAGTGGAAAGGCAAATTATATGGAAGTGTCATCAGCATTTAGGCAGAGATGAAAGATACTTTCTGGCTGGATGAGCAGATTGCCTCCCAGTACATTTTCTGGAGGTCAAGTTATATCAGCAGTCTCTTTGCTTTTCAAAGCTGTGTCCGTCCCATTTGAAACCCAGTCATAAAGCCCTATCCCAGCATCCCTTTTCTTTCTCCAGTCATACAGTTCTTTGTTTGTGAATATGCCTGGATGGAGAAAGAGGTAGGCAAGAAATCTAAACTTTAGAGTGTTAAAATATGACAAATGGTATTTTTTATGAGAATATTTTAGTGTTGGTTCTGTTATTATCATGATTCTGTCTTTCCCATAGCTACAAACATTGACAGTATATTACATGCCTTTATAACAGCTGTATAAATTGTTTACAGTGAAAACAACAGATGTTATGTGAATTATCCAATCCAATTATCCAACTATCCAATTATTCTATACTAATGCCCCACTTTCACAACTACATAGGCAATTTAGGAAGTTTCATTTTCCTCACAGTAGACACAGTCACAATGAAAATTCTTCCTCAGCAGCACAATTAGAAACAAGAAAACAAAACCTCCCATTTACAGCATTAACAATTTGATTTTTCCACCTCTAAATGCAGCATACAAGGGATTTTTATTGGGATTGCAGTTGGGAAGTGAAAGTCCTCTTTTATTTGACCTTCATTCCTGGCAAGATCATGGATACATCCATATAATTTTATTGGCAACAATATAGTACAGAAGTGATTTATCATTGTCTTTTTTCAAGATTCTTTTTATTCTTCCCAGTCTAAGATTTAAACTCTTGTTAGTTTTATGATTCTGATGGAAAAGAGGGCTAAATTTTATAAATTTCCAAATGAAAATCCAATGCACATAATGAATATAACATTTATGCAGACAGTTCTGTTCAGCACTAACTTGAGCCTTTCCTATCTGAGCATTAACTAATTGACTGCAATATTTAACAGTTATAGTCATGCAATGCACAGAGACAGTTCTTGATTTACTATTCCCTGGAAAATGAAGGAATTAGAAACACAATACAAATTTTCTCCTTTATTGGTATCATTAATATTCACTATTTATCCAAACTTCTTGCCATCCTACTGTCTAAGTGCATTAGTAATGGTTAGGGTCTTAATGGTTTAGTCAGTTCAGTTCAGCTGGGTTGACATGCTTCTGTGTTCTTGCTGATGCTAACAGTGTACCCAGTGGCTTGCCAACTTTCTGAGGCCACAAAGCAAGGTAACAACCGCCATTTTTCCATTCATTAAGCACAACATATCTACCTGTTTCCCCATCCCCATTCGTTCCCGGAGACTTGACCTTCCTTTCCATAAATCCCTTTTTCCTTCTTGATCCCTAAGCACATTTGATTTGCTGACGCTTTCCCCAAAATTCACTCCTGCTTCTGTCTTCTTTTTCTGTCATATGTGAGTAGAGCAAAGACCATGGACACTTGCTTTCCCCTGTTCTCGATGTCTCCCTAAAGGACTCTCTGTTTTGCTCATTTGGCAACATATAAACAAGCTCTCCCCTCCTACTCCAAACATGGGAGAGTAAATGGCTGATGGTGAATTTGGCTGTCTTCTTTTGACCTTTCGAACTGTTTTAGCATTTTGTCTCTAGATGTATTAAAAGTAAGGCTCTGAAAATGCTAGGCAACATTCTAGAAATTGCAGACCCAGTATATCTGGAGGATATCAGACTGGGAATCATGGTCTATTATGAGATATACGTTATGAGCAAAATGAGTCTATATACTCCCCTTCGTCACTGTTTTCTGCATAGCCCCCTTCACTCTATATCTCTGTATCCCATGATTTTTATTTGTATTTGTTTATACTAATTGCAGTACAAACCTAGCACAGGTGCTGTTTGCCTGTCAGGAACATTTCTAAAGGTCAGCTTTCTCCAAAACAATTTATGTGAATGATGTGCAGATGCATCAGTAGACACTTGCCTTTATCACCAAACTAGTTATGACACAGAATTTGAAACAGCAAGTGGGCTGAGATTTGTAGGTGATGAAGACAAAAATTTAGAAGCCTCTTCTGGTAAAAAGTTTCTTGTCTACAAAGAATAAGTTACATCAGAATCCTCCCTCTTTATTGCTTTTGGCGCAAATGGCAACAGAGGGAGGTGAGGCTTAAAGCGATATGAATAGTGTTTTCATCCCGCTATATAATACCTTTGGAGGAGGATTATAGGATTTCATTTCTGGAATATTACCAGTACCTTCTTGATATGACTTATTTGCAGCACTTCTAGTCATATATTTAGGCTTGCGTACATTTCAATAAGAACTTTATGCATATATGTAGTTTTCTTTCATGAAGAGAACTTGTGAGCTGGGCTGGAGAAATGAAGTAAGGATTGCAAAAATCTGAGTTTTGTTTTTCCAGCCATCACACAAATTTCTTTCCAGGTTCAGAGGAGAGAGGAACTGTGGGAAGCAAAGTGGGGATCATGAAGAATCCAGCTTTGTTTCTCCAGTCCAGGACATAAGTTCCCTTCTGCACATGGTGGAGAGCTGCTTGCCCTCCTTTGGCAGGAAGTTGTTTTTCTCTAATTGCAACTGGGATTGCCAGAATTGTGGCTATTAGTGATGCGGTCACATTGGCATCTCACTTAATAACCTCTTTGCTCAATAATTAAGATTCTGGTTCCAATAGTGGTAGTAACTTGAGGACTACCTGTATCGGACACCTTTAATTTTGTTGGCTTAATATTTTTTATTCCTTTTCCACATTTTTCATAATGTGGAAAATGTTCTTCTCTTGTAGAGGAATAGCATGACGGATATATGTGCTATCACAGAAGTGTCCGTGAATGGATTAGTGTAGCTTCTTATTATTTGAATTGGATTTTATCATTCACCCTTTCAGTTCTCTTCCAAGCAAGTACATTTCTCAGTGCCTTGCTAATATATTTAGTGTAAAATCCACAACAAATCCCCGTGACAAGTGATTTTATTTCGTGTGTGTTTAACTACAGAAGAAAAAGTCTTTTATGGGATTACAAAATGGCCAGGTTTAATAGATAGAATTCACTTAAGTGATGATTGTAAAAGAAGCCTACTGATTCATAATGGGTTTATATTTTATTCTCACCCACCTTTCACTGTTTTTTTCTTTCCCTCCTTACCACATCTTTAGCTGTCAAACTGAGAACTACTGGAAAAACTTTACAATATTTAGCAATAAAAATAAAAAGAGCTTTCTTCCCTCTATGCCAAATCCAAAATGTAGTCTGCATATGATGTCATTCTTCAAAACGAATGTTCTCTCTTAATCCCAACCAAAAATAGTTTCTTTGGGCCCAAATTCAATAAACAGCACCTTTGCAAGTACCAGCATTCCTTTCCTCCGTTGTGCTATTCTCATTTTTTGCTTTGCCTGCTTCCACTATAGGATAATGTTGTTCTGAGTGTCCATGGCTACAAACTAAATATTTTAATTCTTTTTCTTTCTCATTTCCCTAAATCCTTTTTTTCAACATGCCTGTATGTTTGTATTTTCCCACCTGACTTCTCTTTCACTTCATTCTGTCTTCTTTGTATTGTCTAACATTGACTCCTTGTCCTTGTTCAGTAATCTTGTTAACAAGATATTCACCTTGACCTCATGTTTTTGTCAAGCACACCTTTTGCCTTGGGTTTTTCATGCTCCAGCTTCTAACAGAAATGTTTCCAATTAGCCCCTACTCTACCTCTTTCTCTCTCAGTTTCCTTCTATTTTGTTCTGCCCTTTGAGAAGAAAATATTTGTTTTTCCCTTGGCCATTTCCCTTTTCTCTTCCTCACCTTCATTTTTCCCTGAATCTCGCTTTTCTTTCTAGGCCGCTAGATCAACCAAGGACTCTGGCATGGGGAATGAGACTTCCAGCCCAGTCTCAGAGAAACCTACTTCGGGCAGGACCTCCATCCCGGTTCTGACTTCCTTTGGGTCACGGAACTCCTCCATTTCATTCTAGAAGCTCCTTTGCCAAATTCTCCGTTGGTAGTTTTTCCTACATACTGTAATGGGGGTGGGGGTGGGGGTGGGGGTGGTCTGGGGAGGGCTTGTGTCTCTCTGTTTCCTCCTCCCAGCTCTTCCTGAGGCACCTCGGAAAGGTCTCCCCCTTCCTTGTACTTTTCAGCATTACATCAAAACGGCCATTCTTGGTCACTTCCAAAATGGCCAATGCTTATACTACACTTGATCTTAGCCAAAAGGGTCACTTTAGCACATCTTAGTGTGCTCTAGAATGGCTAGTTGACTGTTCCTCCTCCTCAGTTCCTAAGTTGACCAACTTGTTTATCCTTGTACATGCTATAATGTGACTGACGAGGTCTTTCTATTTCTCCCATGAATCCTCCCTGCCATTCCTCACCCATTCCTATCCCAACCTCACTTTTCTACTCTGGCAATTTAGGTTCTTGTTCAAAGAATATTCAAACATTCTGCAGCATGTTTGGAAGCAACAAGGACATTATTGGGCACATGAGTGGGGGAGGGAAACCAAATCATATCAGAAGCCTATAGGTGGGAAGGGAAGAGACCCATTTCTGAAGATGCCTCAGAACCCCTTGGACATTGCTGCTATTCATCTTTCCTTATATGAAAAACAAAGGTAGTTGTAATTAATAGATTAATATGAATCTTTGTAGGTATGTGCTAAATCATTCATGAATCAATGGTGTTTTGACTTTGGGGCATGTGTGTGCTTCCACTATTGTGGATTTCTGTTGTTCTATTTGCTGTATCAAAGACTGGGGTGGGATATGGCGTGTATGTATATGCGTGTGTGCATATGTGTGCATACATGCATGTCTCTTGCAATTTGATAGCTTTGGGTGGGCGGGGGGAATGTTCCTTCCAAAACATTGGATTTGATTTAGTAGAAGAATAAAGGTTTGGGGGGAAAGCACTGAATATCAAGCTGGTAATAATATTAGCCCCTTCAAATCTTCTTAAGTGTACAATTTTTTTTAAAAAAGGGGAAAGAGGTAGGACACATCCAGAATAGGTAGGAGAAGGTTTAGCTGAACAGTATTGAGAACAGGGTCTAAAATGGAAAGTTACGCTTCCTAGAAAATTAATCCATCAAATGTAGCACTTTAAATGTCTCTTCAGTGACCATGTATGTGAGGGGAAAGAGCCCCCCAAATGTGTGGGATACCAAATAGGAGGCAATAGTCAGGGAGATGAGGGCGTCAGGGTATCAGAGAAGCTAAGTCAGAAGGACAAAGAAGAGTTTTATGTGAACTTTGCAGCAAATTAAAAGAGATTAAATAATATTTGCTGCAATTGAAGGGGTGCAGGGGGTGGGGTGGGGGCAAAGGTGATTTTGTCCAGGTGACTGTCAGATTTTTTTCAAAATGAGGCTGGAGAAATGATGCTGGCAGAATCTAAAATTTGCAGGGATTCTGTTCCTTATTTACGAAAGCTCAAACTAGGAGACAAGAAGGGCAGCAGGGGGGCCAGGAGGAGAGTGTGGAGTAAAAGAAAGAACAATTGGGAAAGTCCTTAAATTCAGTGGGGCTTTCATTGAAGAATTTCCCACAGGATTATGGTCTCAAAAAGAGTTGAGTTTTAGAGTAATGGATTGTAGAAAGATCAACCAAATTGGGTAGCTCTTGACTATTTATGGAGCGATTGCCAGAAGCTTAAATGTACTACTGTATCTCTGGAAAGGAATTTTCATCTTGGGTTTGGGTAGAAAAAAAAAACTATCTTTATGTTTAGTAAGTTATCAAAAAGAATTCTCTGTTTTTTTTAACTGATAAGATGCAGAAGTGTTAGTGATTTTCTATTAGATTCTGCATGATGATCTGCACAGTATGACATTTTTAAAAAAATACAGCACAGAAAAGAAGATATATCAGTCATGGGAATGTGAGTATGTATGGTAAGGAAAGAATGTTTTGGCTGAATCACAAATGCCAAACTCTGAAACCCTTGTGGATCTGGCAAGAAAGGTGGGTGAGTGTTTATAATCATGGAGAATTTATGAAAATAAAAACACCATATGCATGCATGTGTCCAGAAAGACATGCCAAGAGGAAGCGGGCTAGGGGAGGGAGGAAGTTCCTTAAAGAAAAAATAGGGCATAATAACCCATCGGGGTGTGGGGGTGTCTCATCATGCACAACCACCATGAAATCAATGGTACTTGTGCAGATGCAAAAACACATCCTGGCACAAATCCCATTCTTTTCAGTGGTGTTTGTGTGTCATAATTACCCCACCCCCCAGATTTATGTCCTAAGATGTTAAGCACATACAGTATATGAAAAAATATTTGACTTGGAATACGTGCATCTGTGAGGGCATGCCTCTTCATGTGTATAGCAAAATGGTGTGCTATTGTAAAAAAAAGAAAACGAAGAGTTTGTATGCAACATATTACAAGATGTAATCACTCCTGGTTTTGTTGACTACCTTGTTCTTTTTAATTTTATTATTGGGACTTTTTGGTGGGAGGAAAGTGGGTATTTGTTTTTTATGGTTTCTCTTCTGTCTTTTTTTTTTGTAAATCAAATCATTTTTGTATAAAAATTTTAAGAGAATCTTTTTTTGAATAACAAAGTTTTAAAAACGTTTTAAAAAATTAACTATGTAACAACAATCCATAATGCAATTTCTTGGGATTGCAGAACAAACAAAAAACAAAAAAGCAACCTCTTTACATTTCAGTGAAGTGTCTTAACATTTTATATATTTGTTTTAAGAAATATATTTACATATTATATATATATATAATATACGTAATATAAATATATAAATATTGACAAAAAAGAAAATGAATTTCTTGTTGTGTCTAGTATATGGGGGAGGGGGAGAATGAGAAAGAGAGAGAGAGAAAGAGAGAGAGAGAGAGAGAGAGAATGATTTTGTTTTCTCCCTGATTCAATTCTGTATGTAACTCTTTGTGCTTTAGAAGCTACTTTAAATAATGATGGTGCAAACAGCTAAAAGTACTATTCCACAGGGCAATTACTTGCTCCTGAAAAGCCCCATTCTTTTTTAGGGGTGGTGGTGGTTGTGCAGGAGATGTTTCCTATTGGTTTTGGCTTTTGACATTGTGGAAATTGTTTCATTAAGTTGTAACATTCTAGATTTGTACCCTTGTATGTCAGTTTTCCGTTGTTCATGTTCATGTTTCCTCTTCATCTGTGTGTCTCTGGCAGAAAGGGAGCTTGAGGTGCCCACTCAATTATTCCCCCTTTCCCTCCTCTTGGGCAGACAGGAGAGTCAAAAGACTAACAAAAGAAGAACTACATTTGAATCATATATTTGTAATTATCCTTAAAGGCATATCCCTTTAATAATTGCCTTTAAGCTGTTATTCTTATCTCTCAAAGAACTTGAGGATAGTTGGAGATGGGGTGAATTAAACAGAAGAATTATTTATGGAGATTCTCAGTCATCCAGGTCATGGTTGTCCCAAAGGTACTTTTTCAAAAGGCAACTGAACTTTCCTTGTTTTTCTTTGAAGACATTTCGCTTCTCACCCAAAAAGCTTCTTGGATGAGTAGCGAAATGTCTTCATGGAAAAACAAATAAAGTCTGTATGCCTTTTGAAAAAGCATTTTTGGAACAAACAGAATAATTGTGATTGGACCGCTCAGCATTTTTGCAAAAACTTAAATTCTAGGATTTCCTAGAATGGAAGTAGAGAGTTTCCCATAGGTTTTTAATTATTCCACTTATTTTCAACTAATTAAAAAAAATCATTGAGAATTTACATGTAGATGTTTTAATTAATGCCACCAAAGTCATATAATTCAGTCCACAGCTTCTTTTGTGGAGCTCCAAGAATCAGTCATTTGATTAAAGAGATTCTTGTTTCTCCAAGCTTCCGTCAGTCCTCAGATTATGCATGAAAAGACTGAAGTTTCATATTAAGGAAGATTGCCCTAGCCCATAGCAGCAAAGGCCATTGTGGACAACAGAAGCTATTTGTCCAATGTCTGTTTCCTTACTTTTCCATCTTCATCAATAACTATGATCTACATATGCTTTTAAGACAAAATTAGAAATTCTATTCTGTTCTGGTTATAATGATTTATTAGTGATTCCACTAATTTCAAAATATAGCTATATTGATTTAAATATATTTATTTAAACTTTTTAGCAAATACTTTTACATTGTAATAGGATTAATTAATTCTAATCTACTTTGAAATTGTCCTATCTATTATTTCCTCTTTCCCACTTCAAGCTCTGAGCATAATGAAGAATGAAATACTGTAGGGTTTGTTTCTTAATTTAATTTAAATTTAATTTAGTTATATAATTTTTTAATTTCACATTATTGTCATCACCATGCTTAATAAATCTCATTCAGTAGCCTAGAGCACATTTTTAATCAAGAACCATATTCAGTTCTGAGGTCTATACTTACAAAGTGTGTAAGATCAAGAGAACATGGACAGGCCTAAAATTTTAAATAGGCATATCCAGAATAAAAAAGAGATTTAACAAATGAAATAGATATCTAATAAAACATAATGTTATTCCTTCAGCAGCAGTTAATTGTTCCTCTAAGAAGTTAACAACGATTATAGACAAAGCACTTTCTCATATACACATCATCCATCAATTTATTTTCTTAAAATTTTAGATAGATCTCCAAATCTAGCAAAATGTATTTTTTTAAAAAAATAAATTAATTAATTTTGCCGTCAATAAGCAGATCAGTTCTAAAATATTTATTGAGTCTATTCATAAGGATTTAATATACACAAATTTATTGAAAAAAATTAATATGTAAATATGTCCACACAACTGCGAAGAGTTTGACCTAAATTTTCAGGAGACTTTACCTTTATGCTCTTTAAAATAATGAATGCTCAATATAACAAAGATGTTTCCCAGGGGTTAACTACTCAAGTTCAAATTCAGTGGCAAGTGGCATTACTAGGTATTTTTATTAGTAAATAAAGCAGGGGCTTCAAGCAATTCCAAACCTTTGTAGGCATTCTAGGAGGACACAACTCAGTGGTGGGTTTCAA